GGGGGGGGGGGTGCTGCTTCAGCCGGGACATTTAACCGCGCGTTTCAAAGCGAATCATCATCACCAGGACCCAGGAAGCGCGCAGTGGCGCAGCAAAGCTAGATAAAAACAAAAACAACAATCAAGACCAGCCAGAGCGCGAGCATAGCCGCAAACATCCTCCTCCTCCTCCTAGACATTCCCCACATCCGCAGAGCGGCGGCAAAAGGGGGAGAGAGAAAATGCGACGCGCCGTTTGCAAAGAGGAAAAAGCGATTCTAGATCGCGATGGCACCGCGATGTAGTTAGCAGAGCCGATCAATCGAAAGGCCCCAAGGCTGCTGTGGCAACAAACAGGCCGAAACGGAGCGGCGCGCAGCCTCTGCGCCGCCGGTGGCCGCGGGCCGGGCAGCGGAGCGCCTAACCAGCGGCAGCTGGGCCACCCGCCCAGCCGGCGTGGCGGCGCGCGGCCTACCTGCCGGGGGCTATTGTGTGCCGGCCAGAGGGAGCGGGCAGGGCGGCAGGGCACGGTGAGACAGAGACGGATGGTGCGGCGGGACCAACGGCTGTGCGGGGGCGGGGAGGGGAAGGGGTGAGTCCCTGGCGCGCGGCGTGTCGCCGAAGCTTTTGATTCCGCCAAGTCCTCCCCCACTCTGAGCATAATCAAACTCTCCCCTGAGCGCGGGGTACAGACAGCGGTTCAGGTTCAGCCCCCCAACTTATTCGAAGTGCTTGCAAATACTTGAGAACCCCCTTATATAGAACCGCACTTGATGAGTACACAAAATATGAGAAAAGTAGTAGATTTCGCATGATTTGAAGAATATAGCTATACTTGGGGAGTTTACCTTTTAATCAGACACACTGGGATCATTAGTCCCAAGTATTTCTTTCCAATTTCAATTTGGGTCATCACACCAGGTCGTTACTGTTCGACCCAAAGAAAACTCGTCTGCTTGTTTGCTTCGCAAAGTAGTTCACGAAGGGTCTTTTGTTTGCGTCGAAGCGGCAGAATGTAGTTTTGTATTCGTTTCCCTCGCGTTCCCCGCTACTCCTTCGAGGCGGGGCGGGCCGCCCTGGCGAGGCGCCAACGTGGGAAAACAAGACGCCGCGGAGCTGAGGGGTCTGCAGCGCCGAGCATCGACACGCTTGTGCGAGCCAGGGTGCACCCGGACCGTGACCAGGCCCCCCGAAAAGGGTAAACTGATGATATTATATGATAATGATAAAAATCGGACACCCAGAGAGCGAGGACCTCGGTCGGCATGTGCACAAAGCAATCAAGTGGAAAATTTCCATTGCTACGAGAGGTATGTGGACTGGCATTCACACAAATTATCCCATTAACCTGACGCTCCATAGTACTTAAGATCAAATAGCGTTATTTTGGTACGACGCCACAGCAAACTCCCTCCACACCCCTCCCTCCGCTTACTAGTCATGTGGCAGACGAGCTCCCCCAAGCCCCTCATCACGTTAATTGACCGTGTTACAACACGAAGCTGTCATGCCAATTTTCTCATAACGGCTGCTAAAAAAAATTTTATTTTAATCAGACTGGCAGATAAATCAAGCTTTTAAAACCGTCAAAATTTTACCGCTCTTTAAAAGGATAAGAGCTCGCGAAGAGCACAACGAACTTTACTGAAATGGCAGTTGTGGTTCGCACACTCGATTCCAACGCTACTTGCAGGCAGGGCTGGGTCGGCACGAGTACTTTAGGTGATTGTCCCCGTGGAGGGTGACCACCCCAACCCCTCCCCGCCCACCGGGCAGTCGCCTGCGGCTGCACCTCCTCGCGAGATGCGGTGCATTCTCTCCCAACTTTCAGGCAAAATTCAAATTTAATTCTGGTTGGCGTTTGTGCGTTCGTCAGAGAGGAATCCACAGGCGGGGAGCCGTGAGGCCAACCGGGCCGGCCGGCCCGGGCCCAGAGACCGAAATAACGTCACCAAGAGACTACATCAAGCGGCGAGAAAACGCCATGAGGATTCCGACCGCTTATTAGCGCCGAACAGCCGCGGCCTTCCTGCAGCGACATTTTTTTTAAATGCACGAATATGTATTTTTAAAAATACGAAATACCTCTGAATGTCGGCTCAAGGGCGCGCATCCGGGGTGTCGTCGTGGCGTCACGCAGCACAAGTCGGCCTGGTCCGAGGTCCGAAGGGGTCGGAGGACAAAGCGGCACTGAGGCCGGCTTAGTCAGTCCACCCCCCGCTGTTCCCCACACTCGGGCCCGGCTCGGACAATCGGGCGCACAGTCTCTATGCGTGTCATGTCATCTCTGATTCGAGGCGCACCTAGACAATGGCAGCCGGGGGGCCGAGCAGCGGGAGCAGCGGCATGCACGATAGGGTGCGCGCGACTGGGCAGCGCGGCGAACGAAGTGAGTACCGGTGGAGAGAGGCACAGGGCCTCGACTTACCACCACTCGATATCTGTGTCTTCACAAAAATATATGCGTGCAACGAAAAATTTTTAAATCTCGCAAACAATATTTATGAGAAAGCGATCGATAGTCGACAAAATTTAAAGAGAACTTGGATTAAAGAACTTGGACACTCTGTGTTTTAATATAAGTTTCTTCGCTTAAATCGAATCACTGAGCGTTTGTAAACTTTTGAAGAAGGTGTCGAAAGGGAAGGTTTCTTTTTTCCGAGGCTACGGGGTGCGTCGCCAACCTCTCGGGCCACAGGCAGTGACCCCTCCTAGCTTCCCCGGCGAGACGTGGCGTGGCGTTGCGTGGGCGGATGCTGTTCCATCAGAAGGGACACATCTCCGAGGCGTATCAGACCCAGATCATTGGGCGTCTCCCATAACCACGATGCCTTGATGGCTTGGCGGGGGCGGGGCG